TCAGCCACCTTCTGGGCAACTCTATGTTGATAGAGACTTGATCTCTGGCTTTAACAGTAAGTTTTTTTAAAACTTTAATCAAATTGTTCTCTTTGGGGTTGTGTTATGAGCTTAGAAATAAGTATAAGAATGTGGTTGAAGTGAATATGAGAAGATATTTTAAGATAAGTTTCAGCAAAACAATCTTATAATATATATCAATTTGGTATCTTTGGAGATGATATTAGAAGTTATTTGGGAGTGATGAAGTTTCTTCGACAATGAGATAAGTTTCAGCAAAATAATCGTATAAGATTGTGAAAAAAACAAGTTGTAGGGAACCTTAGAAATTATAGTTGTTGATATTCATTCGTTTAAAGCACAGAGAATCTGAAGTTATATCATACGTCTGTCTCCTTACTCACTTAATATTAATTTTTGAGAGCCGTTGTTTGCTGGAATCCGTCTGTCTCCTTACTCACAGTCCATAGGAACTTCCCAACAACCCCGTGCATTAGAGATTATCGAGTTGGACGAGTCAGGTGAGGATGCTGTAATGGATGACGCAGCCACGGTTATAGAAGAGGATAATAGAAGCAGTGGTCTATCTTTTCCTCAAAAAAGGCAGCAACAGCTTCAACAAGAAGTGTCCACTAATGGTTTTGGATTTCAACAGCTTCAAAAAAGGCAGCAACAGCTTCAACAAGAAGTGTCCACTAATGGTTTTGGATTAACGATTTTTGCAGCTGTGTACTGCGTCTTGTTCGGTCTTGTTGCCTCTGTTTAGATGTTTTATCAGCATGTATGTGTGTGTTGTTTTATCAGTTAATAATTGTCCTTTGTCTCTATTTCATTTGTTACAGTCGGTACTTCTCCAATGCGTCAGTGCGAGATGATCATTTCAAGACCAAAAAACACAAGAAGCGGTAAAGTTTGATTCTTTCCTCCCCTTGGTTACATTTTGGGTTTTACTCGATTCATAGTGTTGGTTTTTGTAATGGAAGGATCGTTTGTGGTAGGATCATATGCGTGAGTTTGGAATTACTGGATTCGTCTTGGCAGAATTATTATTATCGAAACGGATATTGCTGCTATTGAGTACATTGACATTCTCTGTTCTGCTTTTGATGTTTTAGTATTTTTCATTGATTATATTTGTTGCTCTACGCATGTCTAGAAGATTAACTGTGCCAAATGAGTGTTGTGGTTTGTATAACTCTTGTTTTTGATGGCATTGATTAGACTCTCGATTTTGATATTTGTGTGATTGCAGTGTGAAGATAATGCAGGGACCTGCTCCACACTCACAACTCGATGCAGATTTAGCCGCTGGAATGGGAATGCCGGACAATGGTCCAAAGCTGATGATGGCTGTTTGAGTTTTACAGTTTTTCTTTGGGATTTTGTCTTTGTAAAATTACCCTGTGTTATGTTGTTGAAAACTAACTATTTTTCATATAGCATTACATTTATAGTAAAGCATTAATCACTTGGAGCGATCTTTGATTACTTATGCTTCGCTAATACCATTCTCCAAAAGTCCATTATTCTACCACAAACGAAAATGACACAATTTGTGCTTCCATTGACTTGTATATTTCATACCCATAGCTTCCGCTTTGATTGAGCTTAATCAACTTGAGCTGTACAAACGATTGACTTAAATTTTGATAAAAAAATGAACCCTATTCTCGAGTTCACTAATGAAACCACAACATATTTGGGTTCTTCCCAAACCTTAAACAAAAAAAAATTAATTTTTAAATCTGATGAACCCCAATGGACCTACTCTTAGTTTAAATATTTGCAAAATGATAAATAAAAATGAATAAACACTTTACCTGGAAGAATATTCGACTGACCTAGGCAAAACCAGAGACAAAAACGCCCATAGTAACGTGAAAGCCGAAACTTCTGTGTAACCCAAGTTTGAGCATAACTTCTTGTTTTTGGTTTTGGATGTTTATGTTTTTCATGTTTTGATGAGGGTTTTATTCGGATATTAAAATTATTAATGATTATTTGTTTAACTCCAAAAAGTTTTGATTTTAGAAGATTTTTTTAGTGTGTGTGTGTGTGTGTGATAAAACTCTTCTTTGCATGCCATTATGTATTGGAATTGGCTCTTATTATTTGGTTTTAAATATGATTATCATTTTCACAGAGATTAATCCACAAGAAAGATAACTTGGATATGAAGTTAGCCTCTTTTGGTTAGGTTACATCACTTGTTTCATGAGTAATACAGGACACAATAAAACCAATAGGGATAGATTGTTTTCATTCAAACTTAAACACAAAAAGATATTACAATGACAAAAAGAACGAAGCCATGAAGACAATACAAGTCAGATTGAGAAACATTAAAACAAAAGAACAAAAACAAAGTGATATATATCATATGAGGACATCAATGGGAGGTCTTGGTTCAGAATGAGCACCAGCTTCATCTTCTTCCGATGATCCATACAACAAAGTTTTCACTTCTGTTATAATAAGCTGAGTAAGCAACAATCCAGAGATCAAAGCTGCAGTCATCAACATGTAAAATACAGCATCCCAACTAATCGCAGCGATGTAACCCGTAAGAACAGGTCCAATGGCTGCACCAACTGATCCGGTTCCATCTATAATAGCAGTGACTGTAGCCAAAGCTCTTGCATTTCCTTTAAGCGATTTGTGAGTACCGAGATCAGCTGCAACCGCGGTTGTGATCAAAGCGTAAGGTCCATTAACGAATACTCCAGCCGTGAACATGAGGATGATATTGATTGTCATTGAGATATGACCATAGATTCTGTAGAGGAACAGAGCTGGGATCGTTAAGAAGATGAATCCTCCGGCTGTGATTGCTCTCCCGTCGAGCTGATCAGAGAAATAACCGGCTAAGATCCCTCCAACCACGCCTCCAACATCAAAGAGTGTCGATAAGTTTCCTGATGTCTCTTGTGACAAATGCTCTCCTCCTATCTCAGTCTGGCTCACATAGAAAGGAAGCCAATAGAGGAAAGTGTAAGAGACCAATTTGGTGAAGAAGAGACAGAACGCAAAAGGAGCAACACCAGGGATCTTCCAAGCGGCCAAGAACCCAACCGCTCTTCTGTCGAATCCAGTACTCATCCTAGAGCTCAAGAAGCTTTCTGTAATGGTGTCACCTAGTCTCATCGTGGAATCAACTTCAGTTCCATCTCTCTCAGCGTCAACAGCAGGAGGGTTCACAGGCAAGAAAAGGTAAACGACAATGCCAAGAAACGTCATGAGCAAAGCCGGACCAACAAAAGACCATCCCCAACCAAATTTCAAAAGCCCGGTCGCTATTAACGACCCAATGATGTTTCCTATTGATGTATGAGCACTCCACACACCCATAATCACCCCTCTCCTCTTCTTATCAAACCAGTTCCCCAAAACCGCAACCACGCAAGGCCATCCAATAGACTGAAACCACCCTGCCAGTGTTTGGATCGCTAGGAAATAGTAGAAACTATGGATATTGGCCCAAAAAGCAACACCAAACAGAGCGGTGAACACTCCTGTCCCGATCATACCTATCGTCAGAAACGTCCTGAGGTCCAAACGGTCACCCAAGTGACCGGCCACAAACATTCCAACCGCGTAGACAGAGAGGAAAGCCAAATCTATCTGTCCAAGCAAAGCTGTTCCGTCTGGACCATCGAAAGGAGCCCATCCGCCTTTGTCCGTGGCCTTGAAATGTCCGGTTGATTGTTTGGAGAGCGTTCCTTTGACGATGCTGTTGGGCTTTCGGGTTGCGTGGAAGGCAATATAGGCGACGAAGGTCAAGACAAAGACCATTGCTTGGTATTGCTTGAAAGAGAGTTTGCCTGAACGCTTAAAACGTTCTAGGAAATGAATACCTGGTGGTTTTATCTCTACGTATAGGAACTCAGATGAAGTCCAAGACGCCATGTTTATTAGCTTTTCTCTCCCTCACTTGACCAAAACCTGAAATGATATCAAGACAAATAAATTCAATCTTAACCAACGAGGCCACAATTTAAGAACAATCTTAACCATGAGATTTCCTTTTGATCATCTCTTACTAACAGCAAAAACCAAAACTTATTTGAAGAGAATTTGAATAACCTTTGAAATTTGAAGAGAAGAGAAAAAAACTCTCTCTATGCTTAGAAAAAAATTGGAAGGAAAAAAAGGCACTACTTAAAAAGTTAAAGAACGTGAGAATAACTAACTTAAATTACTTAAATCTTATATTTTATTTGTTTGACTTTTGGCTCATATACTTCAGTTTACTAACCTCACAAACATGTACGCACATACGGTTAAACCAGAAACTAACCATGGCAGAACATTTCAAATCAAGAATTCAGATTTATCTGATGAGGAAATAAACTAGAAATAACATATATCCATTAAGGGAATATACCCTACTTACTCGAAAAAAAAGAAGCAAAGGCACGACATGATCTCAATAATAATCACTGAAAGACCGAAAATTTCAATCTTATCCCACTATTTAAAAATGTAATCTCTATAAGTCCACCCTTATGAATGATTCAAATTGGAATATTAATGTATTTGACTTTTGTATCTCATTTTGTGTATATATCACGTGAGCTGCCTCTGGCTGTTACAGGATTGTTATGACCATACCAAAGATTATGCAAGCAACAATGTAATTATATATCATTTATATACTAATTACACACAAAGTACTTTGAATTTTTATACTCACACACAAGAAATAGGAAAAACTAAAAAAAAAAATTCTACGCAGCGTACTTTGAATTCGTAAGAAAAAAAATCTATCATGAATTGTAAACAAATACACACAAAGTCATCTTCAAGCGTCCACGACACTGATGTACATGATCCTTTAAAGTAAAACAAAAAATATACACAATAGTTTCTGTCTAAACCGGCCGTCATTAACGAGCGACTTCCCAATCTCTATCTATTTCTTTCACTCGGTCCCGGTTTATAATAACCGGTGAAGAATTTAGTGTCAAACCATTTATACCAAACCGAAAATGTCAATTTCCGTAAAACCGAACCCCCAACACTCTCTCCCTTTCTCTGTTCCTGGACATCGGAGGGTTTTCGTTGAAACACGAGTCGGCTCTTTGACTCACTCACGGGTCACAATCGATGCAGCTCAAAAAACGATATCGCCTGGAGAAAGGTAATACAGTAGTCGCTGATCAGTCCTTTAAACCATTATGTGGATTTTTTGTTTTGTTTTTGCCTCCTCCTGTGATTGAAAATCACTAATTACGCTTTGATAGAGAAAGAAGACGGCACAAGTCCTAAGATCAGAAAGTACTGGATTCAACGTTACAATCTATTCTCGAGATATGACCAAGGTATCAAAATGGATGAAGAAGGATGGTACTCTGTGACTCCCGAAGAAATCGCAGTCAAACATGCTGAGAGATGTCGTGGCAAATCAGTGATTGATTGCTTCTCAGGCGTTGGTGGTAACACTATCCAATTTGCTAAAGTGTAAGAAGCTCTCTTTCTCCCTTGCACAAACAAATTTGTATGATTAATGGTTGTGTCATGTTTTCTGAAACAAGTTGTGTTTTTTAATAGATGTTCTTCTGTAATAGCTATCGACATTGATCCATTGAAGGTAGAATTGGCAATTAACAATGCAATGGTTTATGGAGTTGCTAATCGTGTGGATTTTGTTGCTGGTGATTTCATCCAATTAGCTCCATCTCTCAAAGTTATCTTCTTCTCTCTATCAGTTTTTAGTCTTCCAAATATAAAGATTTCTTTTTTGTTGACCCTTTTGTTCTTGTGCTAATTAAAATCAAACTTTTTTGGTTTAGGGAGATGTATTGTTTCTGTCACCACCATGGGGAGGACCAATGTACAACAAAGTTGAGAGTTACAAGATGAATATGCTCCAACCGAGAGACGGGTAACATCATCCATAAGTTTAACTCGTAATTATTGATGTAAACTTGTGTTCAATGCACACACCAGTTAATGAAATTTTTTGTTTTTGTGTCTAGGTATTCATTGTTTCAGATTGCTCAATCCATTACGCCTAATATCATAATGTTTCTACCGCGAAATGTTGATTTATCCCAAGTGGAAGAACTCGCTTGGCTCTCCTCGCCTCCTCTGGCTCTTGAGGTTACTTACTTAACGCAACTCTGTCAACAAGAATACTAGGAGAGCTAGTTTATTGCAAAACTCTTCTTTTTGTTTTTGTTTTGACAATCTCTTATATTTTGATTTCAGATAGAAGAAAACTGTGTTGGAGGCAAATTGAAAGCCATAACGGCTTATTTTAGTTGCACTGCCCTTTAGTTGAGAAATTGGAAGCATTGCATGAGAGTAACTATCTTGCTGCATCAGCCAACAGAACTCTTGTCATCGGTTATTTTGTGTCAATATAATTTTGTTAATTTCTTGAAGAGATGTTTTTTTATATGTATATATTATTCTGATTCTACTTCCAAGGATTCCAAAACTCTTAATTATATTCTTCGGTTATAAATTGTATTAGATGAGTAGTACCCGTGCATGCGTATCAAGAAACAAGCTAGAGAAATTATGTCCTCATAGCCAAAGGTTCTTGCTCTAATCATTTTGGCTGCATTGGATTTGGCATCGGATGTGGTAGTTTCAGAGGATTCCAATGAGGAACTCATAACGGATCTTGATGACCCCATTTACCGAGAGATATCTCCGGGATAGACCGGTGAAATTTTCCAACAAAGCAAAAGAAATTGCAGCTACCCTAAGACCAACTTAGAGGCAGGGGAAGCCGTGATGGTCGAGGCCAATTTGGCTCTGTGATGATCAAGGTTCGAAGCTTCACCGTTTCTCTTCTGTATGCCATCTTGAAGCTTTCAAGTATTGTATGCTCTTCTGTTTCTAAAACTCTCTTTATTAGCCAACTCTACTGACCAAAAGTCATACCATCTTGTAACCGTTTAAGCAAGGCTAATGTGTCATCGTCTTCTTCAAAACCATAAGTGTTGCCTACAAGACAACAACTTCCTGAAACTCTGTTAAAAATTTGGGCCTTTAATGCTCTTTCCAAGCAGAGCATGACTATACATTATTATTTTATCTGAGGCAGGATATAAGCTTTTTCTTATGTCTTTTGGAAGAAACTGGCATTTGCAGTGCAACGTTAAATACAAAAGCTTTCAATATTTCATTCGGAACTACTTACTTACCTAAAGTCAACTTCTCACTTTCCAAATCAGTTTATAAAGGAACTGACCCTAAGCGGCTAAGCATAGGTCTCTCTCATAGACAAATGTAAGTGTGAAGCAAATATGCAATCTCTCTTCTCTTAACTGATCCCAACAATGTGTCCTTTAACTTCTCCTTCTCTCTCTCTTCTTCTATTAACCTTCAAGCTTCTTCTCCATCTCTTACTTACCAATCTTCATCTCTGTTACACACTTCTTCGCCAGCATCTTCGTCGCTTCAACCACCGTTTACTCCTTTAGTATTCTCAAATTCACTCTCTTTGAAATCTCTTTGATCGTCATAGCTTGATATGTTTTGTGGGCCGTTACGATTTTTCTCCTCGAGCAATGCTTGTTCCTCAATTAATTTTCAAGAAGTACCCGGAAATAAAAAGAAAGGTCTACAATCCATGTTTTTGTCACTTCGCTTAGGACACAGAACTAGGAGCAGGAGGTCATCTGGATTATGCTTTCTTAGCGGGTTGGAGACTTTTGTCTTTCACGTCTCAGGGCTTTGAAAAACAAAGTTGGTTTGGTTAACACTAGCATATGCTGCACTCTGAAAAGTCACGTAAATTGTCGATAATATATTGTTTCTTTTTGGGATAGAATTATCAAAATATCATTGACTCAAATAATTGCTTCATAAGTAAACGTTTCCTTAGAGTTTTAATGACTATGCTAAATAACAAAAATTACACGTTTAAATTAAAGTTATCAAAAAATTTTACGTGGATTTGCAATTTAGTAAAAATCAAATCCTCTAGTACGAGCGAACCAACAAAAAAAGCACCAACAAATTCTCTGAAAATCTGCATTGGTGTGTTGTGGCAAGTAGTGCCGGTCCTGAGTTTTAACAAACCGGAAGTGAAAAAAAATGGACTGAAAAATATAAAGTAAACAAATAAAATGGGATGTTGTCTGGAAATCTGGCAAGCAGTGCTGGTCCTGAGTTTTAACAGACCGGAAGTGAAAAAAAAAATGGACTTAAAAATATAAAGAAAACAAATAAAATGGATGTTGCAGATATGAAACAACATCTTTACCTCTACACTAAACAAACTTCTTATAAAACTGGGTCCAAAAATATTGATACTATTTATTGGTTGGAAGCTAATGCTACTCCAATTTCTAATATTTTCCATATGCCCTTGATATTCTCATGAAATTTGGCATCACTCGTATCAAGGATGCATTCTAAATTAAAGATGTCAACCAAATAATCAAAATAATTATTAGAAGTTGGATTGTCTCAAAACCCAAAAAACAAATATGTTCAAAATTGGTACACAATCATTTTTTGTTTTTGTTTCTAGCCTTTTGAGTTTTAAAGGTGAATTATGTTTTAAAGTTATTATGGATCATGTTGTGTTGAAAGATAAGATGTATGCCTCAGGATCATTGTATGCAGACTACAAAATTGCTCAACAATATCTATAACCGTTTGATTGGTAATCTGTGACTCCTGAAGAAATTGCAATCAAACAGACTAAGAGATATCTTGGAAAATCGGTGATTGATTGCTTTCAGGCGTTGGTGGTAATACTATTCAATTTGATAAAGTGTACTCTTTCTTTTTCTCTTATTCTTTCTTTTTTTCTTACACAAAAACAAGTATGAATGGATTGAAGAAAAGACTGGATGCTGAGAATGTAGGATTCAACTTAAAAATTTTATTTGGACGAAATGATGAGATCAATGGTGGAATTAATAAATTGAATCAGAGACTCGATGCTGAGAATGAAGGTGAGATGAATGTAGGACTCAACCTGGAAAACTTTGATGATATAAATGTGGCAGAATACTTTGATAATCATGAGATCTGAGTTGACATCAATGGAACAGGTAGAGATCAACGAGGTATTGAGACATCATTCTCCCTTTGCATCTTTATCGAGCTCCAAAAGTACATTTGCTTCTTTTCTAATAACTTTTTTTCTAATAAGTTTTGACCTTGTTCACCTTTTGAAACTTAGCTAGACCTTTGTTATCCAAATTGGCTCTTATTGTTTGCATTGATGGGTATATCTTTTACTGTTTTTCTTCTCCTAATACCAGCTTAGTTTTTACATTAATTAGAAAGAAATTAAAGAATAAACTGATATATTGAGCTATTAGGAGAAGAAAATAACCCACTTAACCAATTGAACCAAACGATATATTTTAAATTTCAACAACATAATTAAATATATTTTGAAAAGGATGAAGGGTTAACTTGCAAATCTATTTTCTTTCTCGTTTGATAAACCCCTACAAGAAATAAAAAAATATTCGTCGCTTATTCAATTTAATGTCTGAGATATAATCTTTGGTTGAAAACTGGAAATCGAAAATTGAGAAAATTGAGGTATCCCAAACTTGATCTCCGATCGAAAGGCATTAAATTCTCACTGACGAGTCTCAAATTCCGAGGACCCATTTCTCCTTCTTCCTTGATCTCATCTGGGTTGTGTGATTGGTGAATGAGGAATCCACATAGCAATGGAAACCTTCGGAAGCTGGAAGCGGACGGAGGAGAAGCAACGGAGGAGGAATCGTGCCAGAACGGCTTCGGAGATGGGGTCATCTTGGGACTTGACGGTGGTGCCACCTCTACGGTGTGCGTGTGCCTGCCATTTTTCCCGTTCGGCGATCATTTCCCGGAGCCTCTTCCAATCCTCGGACGAGCCGTCGCCGGTTGCACCAATCGCAACAGCGTAGGAGGTTCCGTCTAGTTCTATTCTCCCCAATTTTGAATTTTGTTCAACGTTGGAGGATTCTTCTTGCTTTTGTTATTATTGAAGTGTGATAATTTTAGCTCTGGGCAATACAAATTTTCGATAGATTATGATTCTTCAGACATCTATGAACGATTATTTGGCTTTATTTATCTCTAATTTGACCAAGTTCTGTTGCAATGTGGATTTTTCTTATCTTACTTTTGTGCTTGTTTAATCCTAAAATTGGATTTGGATTTGGCTAACAACACAAGTAGCCATTTGACTTATGTAGTGTGTGCTTTTTTGGTTCTAGTCGTATGGAATCTGGATCTATAGATATCAATTTTTATCTATTGCGTTTGTGCCGAACTGTATTCGATTTATTAAACATAAGATACCTTTTTTGGTTAAGTTGCAGCAATATATTTAGCTATAGTTGTGGCACTACTTAGATTCTACCCTTTTAAGTCAGCTTTCGTTGTCTGTAATAGAAAAAGTCAACTTTCAATGTACATCGTGTATGCAGAAACTGCAGCGAGGGATTCGCTAGAGCAAGTTATTTCTGAGGCACTTGTACAGTTGGGTTCAGATAAATCAGATGTTCGCGGTGTGTGCTTAGGTGTTTCAGGTGTAAATCATCCCTCAGACCAGGAAAAGATAGAAAATTGGATAAGGTGGTAGTCATGTCAAGTATAAATCATGGATATAAAGGATTTTGATGTGTAAGTCAGCTCGATCTTACCCTCTTTTCATAATGTTGTTCAGGGAGATGTTCCCTAGTCACGTCAAGGTATATGTTAAGAACGATGCTATAGTGGCTTTAGCTAGTGGAACCATGGGGAAGCTCCATGGCTGTGTTCTAATTGCCGGTACAGGATGTATAGCCTATGGCTTTGATGAAGATGGCAGGGAGGCTAGAGCATCTGGTGCTGGACCAATCTTAGGTGATTGGGGAAGGTAATTTTCTTTCCATTCTTTGGACTACCAACAATGAGAAAATAAATTACATCACAATGTCTCTACTTTAACATATATCCAGTGGTTTTCTTTTATCATCAGTTCAAAATTGTCAGAAAGATATTAGTTTTAGTTTTACCAGTGGTTTCAGAGATGCATGAGTCAGAATTGTGATCGTAGCCATAGACTTTGCCATCACATATTTGTTGGAAATACACTTTAATGTTTAAAGATTGTTCAACCGATAATTATGTGAATGATGATGTGATTATTTACAGTGGCTATGGAATTGCTGCACAGGCTCTAACGGCAGTGATTAAAGCTAACGATGGTCGTGGCCAACAAACGATGCTTACAAGTACCATCTTAAAAGCACTTGGACTTTCCTCTCCAGATGAACTCATCGGGTACCTTCTTTTCCAAACTAATGACTCGGTCTGAAAACATTTAGCTTTCATTAATTTCTTGGTAGCCATCACTTCAGACATGTAGTCTAATTGTTATGGATGTAGGTGGACTTACGCTGATCCATCTTGGGCACGTATCGCTGCTCTTGTTCCTCATGTAGTATCATGTGCAGAAGCTGGTGATGAAATTTCAGATAAGATCTTGGTTGATGCAGCTGAGGATTTAGCTCTAAATGTGAAAGCTGTTGTACAAAGACTTGGTTTGTGTGGCGAAGGTGATATTATAGACGGACTCTGTTTCTTTCTTGTTTCACCACTCAGTTACTTATTGTGTCAGATTTTTTCTCGTTATAGATGGGACAGGTTCTTTCCCGGTTGTAATGGTGGGTGGTGTCCTAAATGCTAAACGGAAATGGGACATTGGGAAAGAAGTCTCAAAGCGCATCAACCAATACTTTCCCGGTGCTCAAACTATCATACCAAAGGTTCAGCATTCTACTTCTCATTCACTATCTGACTCTCTCCCTCTCCCAATGACTGAGTAAGTAGATATGATATGCATCTTCAGGTAGAGCCAGCTGTTGGAGCAGCATTGTTGGCCATGAACTTCTTAACAAGTTAACAAGAGAATCCACGGCTCACATATTGTCAAAATCGATGTTTTCTTGAATCTTTAAGCATGCCATAGTGATATAATTTTCTCTTACTGTGGTACATTTGTACATTTGTAAAATCTCATTGTCAACGCCCAATTTTTATTATTGATGATCTCTTTGGCTACTTACTAAACATACCTACTCAACAAGAAGAGAGAGAAACATTGACAGAGGATGTGGATTTGGACAACAGGAATGCAATGAAAATTGTGTGAAAGAGATGGCTTGTTGATTCATATGAATACTTGGTTAGAAGACTGATCATCTCTTGGAGTCTCTTCTTAATTCTCTCCGGACAAGCTTCAAGATCTCAATAACCTGCGAGAGATGAAGATCGAATAGTATGATGAAAGCATACTGATAGTATACAATGCACTGATGCAGTATTATAAGAGAGATAAAGAGAGATTTGCTTACGCCAGGGTAATGCTTTAGAATTGGCGAGTAGTGATCAAGAGCTATATAAATCTTCTCAAAAAGGTCCAAGAGAGAATCGATTTCATCGCCAAGGAGGTCAACCTATGATTCAAGAAGCAGAGAGAAAAAGATTATCATTCTACTAAATGGCTGAAGAACGAAAACAGTAGTAACAGAGGCATGTCGGCAAGAGTATCAAGATCGACAAGCGTTTCATCATAATCTGGTATAATAGTTAAATCATATCTATTGCATGTCATTGTGAAAGTAGGGCTAAAAGAAACTACAAACTCATCTACTGTATATGGATTGTTCAAGATAGAGGAAGAATAGAAACTGGCCTCAGTCTCAGCCTTTTGGAGGTCACAAGTCTTCTTCTCCATTTGCTGCTTGTACATGGATTCTCTCACCTTGAGTTCATCGACTTCATCCGAAAGATCATTTAATTGGCTCTGCATGCTTCTCAACCTACAAATCAACAAGTTCTCATACGTCAACTGAATCAAATGCATAACTTTCAGGCATATAGAGATTGTGTATACCTAGAGTTTGTCTTTTTCATCTTTTCTGCCACCAAGCACTCGAGATTGTCGAAACCTTGACTCCAATTAGCAAGACTCAGACAGGTCGATACAATCTGATTCTGAAGTCTTTTTTGCTCTGCTTGTGTTGTAGATAATTTCAGCTCTGACTCCATTTTCTCATGTTCAGTTATCTTCATATTCTTTCTAGCTAACTCAAGCTTCTGTTTCAACTCGGTTATCTCCATCTCATAGCCTTCTGTTTCCTCCAAAGAGCGAGCTGAAACAACTTCCAGTTCTTTGTTTCTATCTTGAATCACTACTGCTTGCTGATCAATCTGAAACTGCAGCTTGTTAATCTGATGAAATGCTAACTCAAGTTTCGCCCTCTCTGTAGCCAAATCATTCTGAGCTATCTGAACCAAGTTCTCCTTCTCCTTAACAAGACACTCCAGCAAATGATTCTCTTCTTTCAATCTTTCCTTCTCAACCAAAGTTTCTCTGTATATTACCGAATTCTCATCTTCCAACAAAACCTTATCCAACTTCGAAATGATATCCGGGATCTTCTTTCGCAGCAAATCAAACTCCTTGTCCTTCTTCAAAGAAGAAAATGAACCGCACTCCTCTAACTTCAAGTACCTTCGCTTGATGCTAAAATATTCTTCAGTCATCTCTTGCATTGCATAATCATGCTCTCTTCTCAACTGATTCATCTCACTCTTGAAATGGTTGATCAACTGTTCACGAGATAACTGTCTTAAATACTCTATACTCTCAAGCTTCGACGTGACAGACCCTATATGCTTGCCAAGGCTTCCAGAGATTTTGCGGTGCAATAGATCACTTCTCTTTTGGTCCTCTAAAGCCTCAACGTCCTTATTTGCATGACCCGAAAGCAACTTAGATATTAACTCAAGTTCCCGGCGCAAACCAGCAATCTCTTTAGTCTTCTCAAGTACCAAACTTTTCTTACCACAAGAACAAGATTCCACATCTTGCTCCGACAATCTCTGTTCACACTCATCAAGAATCAAACAAGACTGCGAAGTTTCGTTTTTTTCAGAACCAACACGATGCAAGAGCAAAATCTCCTTCAATCTCGAATGTTCGAGTTCTGTCTGAGCTATTTTCTCATCAGCTTCGGTCTCAACTTCATTTCCCATATCCCTTGTAACTGAATCACTAACGGATCTTGAAACTGTTAACCGATTGTTCATTTCATCCTCAAGAAAATCAACAAAAATCGGATTCTCATTCTCCATAACATGATCATGAGAGTCTAAAGTACCATTATCACCAATCATAACCTCTTCACCCATAAGCAAAATCCCTGAAAAATACAGTAATATGATTAATACTGATAATGATAAACCGGAAAATCAATAGCTTTACACAAACCGGACAATCAAAAACATACTAAAACATTCGATAAAAAAAGGTAATTTTCCAAATATAAACAAATTAAGACACAAATTTGAGATTACGAAATCTGAACAAAAAGATTAAATTCCAAATGACCATAACAAAAAGTGGAGAAAGCAGGAGCAGCTTACAAAGTCAGCTGTGTGGATTTTTTGTTTTTCCGGAGTAAACGAAGGAAACAAATTTTATGGAGAAAACGGTAGGTCCAATTTCAGTGGTGGGTCTTCTTCTTCTAAAGATTTTAGGGTTAATATTTTCTGATGAGGAGACGCAGAGAAGACGGATCGACCTAAGAAATGCTTTGGGAAGCGGAGCGGGAAGAGTAAAGAACAAAAATCTTTTTATTATCAAATTAAGGAACTTGCATTTGACGAAATTGCCCCTTCAGAATCTATCTTCTCTTTTCAAGGACAAGACAAAATACGCATAGATAATATTTGACGAAATGCATTCTTTATTGATTAGCTAATAGACTTATTTATTATATGATCATAATTTAACTAGCAAACTCTTTACATATACTTTTGAATGTGTCTATATTTTTGGAAGATGTTCCTCCAAGCATTCCAATGAAACTTGAGCTTCTTAGTACATTAAAAGGAAGGAGACAAGAACCCATGGATAAGGGATGGTGAGCTTGTCCCCGGTTTGGTAGATCATCATAGGAACTCAACTTCGCATAGGTATTGCTTCTGCTGATCATCTCAATGCAATGCATTATATTGTTTCAAACCACTTGGATCTTCTATAAAGGCAGAACTCGAATATGGATGCAAATCTTCATATTGCAGCTAGTTAGAACAAAAAAACAAGTAAAAGCTTTTAAAGTTGTGTATTATTAGTTTCTATCATTCTTACGAGATTTGTTCTTTTTTCTTTTTTTTTGGATTTTCTTTTTGGTTTGGCTTGGACGTAAATTGCTATCGACGAGTTCTATGGTAGAGTTGTAGAGGTTGGAAACCGTGTTATGCATGTTATTGTCATCAACTTTCTTGTCAGGTTCATGATGCATGACTGATCAAAATTCATTAGAAGAGAGCAAAAGACTCATTCAAATATTTTTTGTTAAAACAACAATATAGTTACAATCATCTACAAGTTGTCTCTAAAGCAACTCACACCATTATTCCTTCTTCTTTGAAGATATCCTTGTATATGACAATGACTTCGAATACACAGCGCATAGCATTTGGGAAGAGACTCAATTGTTTTGTTTTTGTTTTTGGTTCAATTTTCAGAATGTTTCAAGAACTTCCACAAAAAAAAAAATGAAACATTCGGAAAGAAATGTTGAAGTTATTGTTTTGTCTGATAGTGAAGGAGAGACAAGTGCCAAAGAAGAAAATAGAAATAGAAACAAAGAGAGAAATGTTTTCTTACAGGACGTTTTATCTCAAAATGAAATGGATAAGATTGATGAAAAACTCAAAGAATTGAGTGACGACAAAAATGACATTGCATATACTCTAGTCATTCTGTTTATCATGTCGGACCATCATATTACCAAGTCATCTAATGCTATTTAATTTTTTTTATAAAAGCTAATATAAGTTTTTATACATTTTATCAATTTTCATATACAAAAAAAAATTGTATAACAGTAATATTTGTAAGGTTTTTGAACAATATTTGTGCATTTATTTTAAATGATTAAGGTTGAAAATTTTGATTATGTGAATCTAATTAATGATCTTATAGGCTAAAATGTAAAGAGAGTTATATTTCAACAAATATAATTTTTATTTTGATATTTTTTCTTACATAACACTTTATGATGTTGAAGTGTTTATGGAAATTTAAAGTAATTAATTTCTTTATATTATTATCATTTATGAACTTGGATATAATATATGAAACCTATATGTCTTCTAAATTTGCATACGACATCATAAATGGTTAGACCGGCACTGGCGATTATGATAATTAACACATCAATCTTTATATATCTTTATATAATAAGATCTTCATAAACTTAATCGGCTCTAAGAAACTATCAAACTAAGTAAATTGGATGTTCAAACCAATATCAGAGATGCCAAAAAAAACTGCGAGCAAAAGCCAAATCAGATTTGATCTGATCGGTTTAGTTCTAATTCATGAGTGGAGTGGATTTCTGTTTAAAAGGGCCATAATGTGTTTAATGATCGAATTAAACAAAAAAAAGAAAACAAAAAAAATACTTTACTATCATACAAAGAGAGAAACTTAAGGTTATGGAATGGAATGATCAAAGAGAGCTAGTCAAGATTTGGAAATGAGACATAACTTCTCTTCGAACTTCATCTCTTTTCACTTTCCCCGTTGTTGTCAACGGAAACTGCTTCTCCCATCGGACAAACCTTTTCGGAATCTTAAACCTGTCCAAGTTCATACATTTCATGAAACTATAAGTACATATATAAAATAAAAAAGATTCAAAAAACGTTTGCTACGTTTAGAAACTAATTTTACAATTACCCTGTTATGTTCTTTGTTCTACAATGATGCTTGAGTGCCTCACTAGACAGTTCGAAATCTCGGTTGCAGTTTCCCACATCAGACCATACCCAACTCTCTTGTAAACGGACACAAGCAACGACCATCTCTCCAAGACGAACATCAACGATGCCTATGACCACTGCAGACACAATCCCAGGATGCTCTAACAGAACAGCTTCGACCTGCACGCATTAGTAGATTCAGTGACATGCAAAGATCCACAATTTGAGAGTAATTATATCCGAGAAGTTTCTTGTGTTGGAAGCTAACCTCTTCAGGGTAAACATTCTCGCCACCAGTTTTGATGCGGCCATTAGACCGACCTATGAGCCATAAGTTACCAAACTCATCGATGGTTCCAATATCACCTGTGTCAAGCCAATCACCATTGCTGCTGGATTCTGATCTTGCAACATTTTCTTGATGTCCCCAATATCCAAGCATTGTGTGTGGTCCGCGAGTTAGAATTTTCCCGACCCTCAATGAATTTTCGTCGAGCTTAACCATTAGTTCAATATGAGGCGCAGGCTTCCCAACACATGTGCCTTGCTTTGATCGATTATTAGTAGGAAATGTCACTTTACAAGACTCTTGTGTTGGATCATGAAGAGTCATGAAGGTAAGTGAAGAGCACGCCTCTGTCATCCCTTTATATAACCAAACCAAAAAACGCATAGAGTTTAGTGTAGAAAGAATTAGGAAAAAACATGGTAATGACTCACTCACCATATGCTGAAAGTATTTTTGCTCTAGGGAAGATCTGTGCAGCATCTTTTAGGAGTTGGCTTGATAAAGATCCACCTCCATTTAGTATCTTTCTCACACAGCTGTTTTGAGCTCCATTTTTCATTGTCCTTTGGGTTAAAAAATTTCAGCTCATCAACATTTTTTAAGACCAATATTTACTTCTCCTGAGGATTTTTTTTTAAGACACTTTTTACCTGTTGACACAAACTAGATCAGCCATCATAGCTGGGACTGTGATGAAACAAGTCACACAATGTTGTTCCATAACTTGAATAGCTGTTTCAGCATCAAACTTTGGAAGCAGAACATGGCAAGCTCCAACTATTAGCATGGCCATGGCTGATGACAAACCACCAATATGAACTAATGGTGATGTATGTAAATACACCTGCAGAAATCAAGAGGCTCTGTACTTAAAAAGAAGCATTCATCTCTATAAAATTCAGTGTAGGACAAACAGATACAATGGAGGTAAAAAAGGCGTACATCATCCTCACCGTAGCCAACAATAGCAATCTTGGCTAGAGACTGCGTGATGAATGCTAAGTGGCTTATCGTTACACCCTTGGGTCTTCCCGTTGTACCTATTGCCAAGAAGAAAACAAAAATGATATCAAGTAAGCTGAGGATTAACTTTGGGAAAATAAGAGAGCAGAATTTAAACATGTTGTCACCAGAAGTGAAGCATATCACAACAGCATCATCAGGAGCCCAAGCGTAGGTCGATAAAGAAGGCATCACTTCATGCTGCTTAAGCATTTCAGTTTTCAAAACTGCACGGTCACAAGAAAACTTTAGGCCGTATTTGCATCTCTTAACCGTTGAATTTTTAAGGTTTCTAAACAAAACATACATTGGTTATGTTCATTTGCAAATTCTGTGGAGGTAAACTCCATCAACACACGCCATTTCAAGGAAGGTATATCGATGTTCTGAACACCGATGCACCAGGAGAAAAAAGTCTCATCGGTGACCAGGAGCACAGGTTCTACTAGCAGCATTGCCATTTTTGCTTCTTTTAAGCTCTGCCCTTTTCTCAAAATACATCATTCAAGAACCAAAAAAAAAAAAGATTCTTCTTTGACACAGAACAAATAATCAACTAAATTAAACAGAGAAGTCTGGACTAAGAAACTGATACTGACCCATCTGTAATTCAAAGGAGCAACTATTCCTCCAGCCAATGCAACAGCCAATAACCACTCCAAGAACAAATCACTGAGACCACAAAAAGAAAAAATCCCAACTTTTTAAAAAAATCTTATAATATCCTAACACTCGATTGGTCCAATTCAAATCCAAAAACCCCAAAAAGGAACCTAAAAGATATTTAAAACTCGTCTCCCTGCTAAGTCCTAACAACTCCTTCCTTCAAAATGGGATTCTAGAAAGAAAAAAAAAAAAGACTTTAGAATCTCGTAGAATAAATAACGCAATTCGACCTGTTAAGAGCAGCGATTGCGACAACGTCTCCTTTTCGAAGGCCGAGACGAACCAATCCGCCGGCGAGGCTCAGTACTCCATTGACGAATTCTCGGCCGGTGCGTCTCCGGTTACCGTAGACTGTGACGACGGCGTTCCGTTTGACGGAGGCTAGCCGAGTCAAACACTGACAGATGTGGGGCCGAGAGTAGTTAGCCATTCCGACGAAGGGCAAAATCGGGGTTTACTGAGAGGAGAAGAAGAAGAAGAAGAAGATGTGGAGTTGGGAGAAAAGGCGCGGGATTTGTGTTCTTCTTCCATTGATGACGTGGCAGTACATATCATCGCCTCGACGACCTCTCCTTATCTTATCTTGTAAGAGAAATCTAATTAAAAACCACCATTTGGTTAAGAATATTTGGGCCGGGTTCATCATAAATAGGCCCATTGTATTAATTTTTTTTTCGTCTAAAATCTTTTTAATTATATTATAGAGAGATTTTAGTATATAACCATGACTAAAAAATTAGGTGTGTAGGAAAGCTGATTCAAAAATTAGTAAAATAGGAAAAAAACAAATTTATCCCAAGAAATATCTTTCTCACTTTAAATAATTAAAAAGAATATCATTGGTTTAGAAACTGATTTTTCGACATAATAAATTGGTGACACTATTCATCATTTAATCAGTGTTACTGTTCATCTGATTAAAAAAAAACTATTCCTTATCAAAAGCGTGTTGTTAACATGCTAACAATTACTATGTTAACATGTTAACAATAATTACACATTATACATGATTTGTTAACATACTTAACATGATAACAATTTTCTTACATGTTATCTATGTTAACGTGATAACAATAATATCTAATATTCATAACGTGCTAACAATAATATCCAATAATTATAACGCGATAACAAGAATATCTAATACTTATAACATGCTAACAAATAATAAATTTGAATATTATTTGTGTTAACTTTGTAATGATAATTTTGTTGAGATAATATTTATGTTAACTTTCAATTTATACAGTATATTTACAAATAATAATTGCAAAGTTAACATGATAACATTGTTAGAGGCATTAGCAGCATATGAAGATGAATGTGCTAAAAAAATTCGTGAAAATATGAGATTTGTGATACTCTTTTTGTGTTTTATTGATTGTTCCAATTTTAAAGTTTGTAATAACTCATCCGGTGGTATTCATTTTCGTTTGTCAGAGGAAAAAAAATTAGAAAGAAAAAAAAAAGATAGATATAAAGAAAGGAGTTTTAAGTAAATTCATGTCTTAAAACACTTAAAAAAAAGTGTTAGAAGATGTCACATAATTTTGACATTATCTATGGTCATTTAGTGGTAATACTCTATATTACAAGAACTATTAAAAAAATAATTTTTTAATTGACAATTTATCCGTTCTATTTGAATCTACGCAGCTTGGGACCACCACGCTGAAAATTTTCTAAATTTTTTGGTGTAAAAATATTAATGAACATTTAGTCGACCACTAGAATAAAAAGAATTTTCACTAGTATTAATTTATTCATAGTTAGAAATTATTCTTTCGAATAAAGATTTAAAATTATTGCTTTATAGAAAGAGAACCTTGCATACCACTCAACTAGAAATGCTAATTTCTTGTTAATTTTACCAATTACGCTAATTTCAATTTCTAAACATCTTATTAAAACCATTCTGATGGCTATTTTCTTTACTCTATGTCAAAGTCAATAACACTCGAGAGAATCAAATTTGAATGTTGTCGTTATATCACGAGTTACAGCAAGAATCTACCTTTTTATCTTAATTTTTCTGAAATTCCCGTAAATTTAGGGCCAAACTCCGACAAAGATACTCACGAGAATTATTTTTCAACAAATTCAGACAAAAGCACGAAAGTCGAGAGAAACTGTAATTGGTCGACGTGGAATAAATAAACATGTTCACCGGAAGAAAACAATATGCCTTTCTATAATATAGTTTGTTCACGGGAGGGTTACTTAAACGTCTCCTCTCCATGAATGTTCTCATACAAATAGCAGTATTTTCACTTCACGGGAACTCTCCAAATAAAGCACAAAAATGGCTTCACATAGAACCAATGAATTTCCACCGTTGATCTCAATCATGATCGTGTTCATCGTCCTAGAATCAACGACCATAAACGCTAGAGAATTACGGCCGTCCGATCACGGGCTCGAGTACTACTACGAACCAGGCGAGTCAGCATCGGAGATGACGTCATTCTTCGGACCCCCTTCTTCAAATGAGCTGACGTCGACATCGATATCGTCATCACCGTCTAGCTCGACATTGCCTAGTGCGGTGAAATCTCCAATGACGACGTCACCAAAAGGCCGGGACGATGATGATGATGATCACGTGATGCGTCACGTGCTTGTTGTAGGGAGCTTGGTGTGTGGACTCTCCGGCGTGGCTTTGATGGTCGCTTCTGCTCTCATTTATTTTCTTGGTTACCCCAAATCACAAAATTCTTCTGTTAATTGTGATCAGATTCAAAACAATAACAAATAGAGAAGAAAAAAAAAAACAAGTAGAATCTTTCTTTTATTTTATGAATTGCATTCAAGAAAATAAAGATATTGTCTGCATTATTTGTTCATTATTATAGAAAGCAAATATTAATATTTTTTGTTCTTTGATTAAAAAGAAGAAACTATAAGAAACATATTTTAACATTTACCAAAAAAAATCTATAAGATTCATAACCGGAGAAAATCGGTTCGGTTTGGGAAAATTTTACCAATTTGGTTCGGCTCTTTGGAAAATGTTAATTAATTAAGCGATAAAATAATTAATTAATTTAAAAGCTTGCAAGAAAAAATAATTTGTTAAAGAAAGTCTCACAAGCGTCAGTTGGAGGAGTCCAAAAGAGGGGAGGAAGGAGAAGGCTTGACCTTTGAGGAGTTTCAAAGGATCGTGTACCTTACTGTATTTATAAACCCTATTTCTTCTTCTTCCTCAATCGATTATTTCACTATTGAATTGATTGCTTCAATTAGATTCCGATCCTCTCTCCGATCGATTAACCAATGTCTCACTCTGCTGTTTCCCAGGTCAGATCATTTTCGCTAATTTTTTTTTTTCTTTCATGATTTTTTATGTAGTCAACGATTGGTTTTCTTCTCTTGCTCCTGATGATTCTGGGCCGAGAATTTCTGAATTCTTTGTTTGTTTAGGGATTCGATCCGGGTTAATGCTCCCTTGTCTGTTTGCGGAGAAAACGAGGGAAATTTTTTGAATTTATTTGTTCTGGGGTTTTGTGATCCTTGATCTGGGTTTATGCTTCGATTGACTATCATGTCTAAGTGTTCCTGTATTTGGGGTTTGTGGGAATTATAAGTAGAGAAAGAGACTTCACTCTCCATCTTCCAATTTTCTCGGGAAAACCCAAAGCAGAAGAGAGTTTTTAATCTGATTAAATTTGATTTTCCCTACAGGCTGCTGCTGTCTCAGTTCCAATCGGAAACGAACGTTCTCTTAGTAGATCCGTCTTCAAGGTGATGCATCAAATCTCTTAAATAGCTCCATTTCCGATCTCAATATTTAAAAGTTTCAAGCTTGAGCTGTGTTCATACACAAATCTCGGATTCAGATTTGCCTTCTTCCTGATGTCTTTTGTTTTATTTTCCCCTGACTTGAGATTGTGTTTGTTTGGTTTCATCTGAGTTTGATCTTAAACTATTCTCTTGCTTGTGTGTTCGTCCTGCAGCAGAACAATAGCATCAGCTTCAACAGCAAGCCATGGTCATCCTCCTTGGCGTTGAACCAGAAAACAACAATCACAAGAGATGCAAAACGGTACACGAGCACAACAATATGCATGTCGGTTCAACAGACAAGTAGTTCCAAGGTTTCTGTCTCTCCTATAGAGTTGGAAGATCCCAAGGATCCTCCTTTGAACTTGTACAAACCCAAGGATTCTTACACAGCTAAGATTGTCTCCGTGGAGCGAGTCGTTGGTCCGAAAGCTCCAGGAGAAACTTGTCATATCGTGATCGATCATGACGGTAACCTTCCTTACTGGGAAGGGCAGAGTTACGGTGTGATCCCTCCCGTAAGTCATATCCCTTGTGCTCTTACATATGTATTTTGATTGTCTTCAAATCGTTACCACCATCGTTAATCTTTGAGTCCGTAAATAAACTGGATCTTGTGCGTGTGTGTAGGGTGAGAACCCGAAGAAACCTGGAGCACCACACAATGTGCGCTTGTACTCGATTGCATCAACGAGATATGGAGATTTCTTTGACGGTAAGACAGCGAGTTTGTGTGTACGTAGAGCTGTTTATTACGATCCCGAGACTGGAAAAGAAGATCCTTCAAAGAACGGAATCTGCAGCAACTTCCTATGTGATTCAAAGCCAGGAGACAAGATTCAAATCACTGGTATGTAAAACTAACCTACTAGATCACATCCGTATAGAGAAACTCCTTGGAACAAGAGTTTTTTTTACTTAATATGTACATCCCGGAAACCAGGTCCATCGGGGAAGGTAATGCTACTACCGGAGAATGATCCAAATGCGACTCACATAATGATAGCAACGGGAACAGGAGTGGCTCCTTACAGAGGCTACTTACGTCGAATGTTCATGGAAAACGTCCCAAACTTCAAATTTGGCGGCTTAGCTTGGCTCTTCTTAGGCGTGGCCAACACCGATAGCCTTCTCTATGATGATGAGTTTAGCAAGTACTTGAAAGACCACCCGGAGAACTTTAGGTTCGACAAGGCGTTGAGCAGAGAGGAGAAGAACAAGAAAGGTGGGAAGATGTATGTGCAGGACAAGATTGAAGAGTACAGTGATGAGATCTTCAAGCTTTTGGACAATGGAGCTCATATTTACTTCTGTGGGCTTAAAGGGATGATGCCTGGGATTCAAGATACGCTTAAGAGAGTTGCAGAGGAGAGAGGTGAGAGCTGGGACTTGAAGCTTTCTCAGCTCAGGAAGAACAAGCAGTGGCACGTTGAAGTCTATTGATCTCAATTACCTTTTCTTTCTTTATTATCTGTTTTTGATTTGATCCAATATCGTAATAAATAAATGAATTGATGTGGTTCGAGTTTTCAATGATAATGATTAATCCTGAAATTTGTTGGTTTGAAAAGAGAAATTCTTTGGAATATTGTTAGAGAACGAACTATGGATCAGTTATGTAATGACATGAGACATCAAGAAAACGACGCAAGGAATTTAATAAAGTTGAGAATATTCTTCTTTCATGTGCTGCAATAAACCCAACCAAAAGTTTATAGAATATTACAAAGATATTCGAATTATATGAAGTTTCAAATAATAATTCATAAAATCTTCGGTTTAGCCAAAAAAGTGGGAATTTATTTTTGTTTCAAAAGACTAATCAGCTGAACAATTCGAATTTGGTTTGGTACACTGTATAAACCGAATTTACATCAAACCAAATCAGAGATTTGTTTTTTTGTCTCTCGAATTCGAACAAACGCGAACCGGTTCGCTTTCGATGACTCACAATGGGAAAATATTATTTATGGTTCGGGCAGCAGGTAGAGGGTGGGACCCGTAGGAACTCGTGGACTAAATCAAGTAAGTGAGCTACTTCGGGCAGAAAAATCGAGATTTGCCCGTAATCTGCTACGTGCAATCTGAAACGCTTCTCTCATTCTCCACTTGTACGATCGTTATTGCGTCCGCAGACTCCGCACAAATTCTTACAAATCGTGCCGTTTAGCTCACTTCCTGAAGCGTTAACACGGCATGATATTTGTAACTGATGGAGAAAACGCTCTGAAGTGTTTGGAATGAAAATTGCGGAAGGGAAAAAAACGACACTCCCTCGCTCTCTCTCTCTCTCTCTGTCTCTATTTCATTTATTTCTTCTTCTCGGAGACTTTGAAGAAGACAGAGAAGAAAATTGCAGAGGTAAAATTGGCATAAGAAATTTTATGCAAGTGTCTGTTTTTTCTTCTAAACTGATATTTAAATAATAGATTTTGATTACTTTCCTGGAAAATTTGTTTTTGCTGTTTAGAATTTAGTGGGGTTTGTGAGAATTATATGTTTTTGGTTTATCATCTTCTTCTTCGTTTTCTTGGTTCTGGGTTTATAGTTTTGAATTGTTTGGTTGTGATTGTATTCTGATTTGGTTCTCAAAAATGATGGAAACAGTAGCTTGACTGTTTAGTATAAGTATGAGTTAATGGTTTTGGGAAACAGTAGCTTCCCAAGAATCATGTTCTGACTTTTTGCTACTGTTTCTGTTTTGTTCTTTGAAACTTTCAGAGTTCTGCTTTCGGACATTAAGCTCATGAGTCATGACTTCTTCAATCCATGAGCTTTCTGGTTCTGCTCTCTCTCCTTTCTTCATTCCATGTTTACATTGCTCTTGTTTCAAGTTAATTCTGCTTTTCATTTTCTTTGCTCAATTTTTGAACCTATAACTTGATCCATAGCTCAACTTCATGTCGTTATTCCTCTTACTGATTCTTAGTGGTGCTCTCTTGTTAAGCTTGTCCAGATAACGTTGAAAGTCATGAGAAGCAAGAACTGAGAGATTCTCAAATCCAAATCCAACCACCAATTCCTCCAGGTAGAAATTCTGATTCAATTGCTACAAGCTTAGTCCACTCGGAACAGCTTCCTCACTCCATGGTAAAACATCTCTCAACGACCAAAACCCAAACTGTTTGATCAGAATTCTCTGTTTGATTTAGTTTCTTGCAACTCTCTTATCTACACCTCTCTTGATAACTGCTGCTATCAGTTCCATCAATGATTAGATATGCCAAACCTTTGATTCTCTTATTTCTTGAAGCTAATTCTTGGTGCTCTTCATGTGTAGCCTTAGATCTTCTAGTTGACATTTTTGTAGTTTAACTACTTCTTGGGACCGTTTTTCCCCTTCTGCATTCTCAGACAGTTAAACTTGTTAGTTTGCTCTTCCAAGTCTATGTTTAGGGGTTTTGAGGTTTTTTTTCTTTAAAAAGCTATATGGCTTCTTGAACAACTCTGTGTTTCCTGTTTTGAGTTTCTTTCTGCTCAAACCTATTTGTATATTCATAATCTTGTATAGTTTCTTTCGTTTTTATGTGTGTTTATACTTTACAATGAAGGCACCTGGACACTACCCATATCCAGATCCTTACTACAGAAGCATCTTTGCACCGCCTTGTGATGCGCAAGCGTTTTCTCCACGACCCTATGCTGGGGTATTACAACGGTTCCTCTCTTCCGGGTGAATGTAGTTTTAACCGTTGGACTTATGTTAACAAGCTTATTACAAATCCATTTTCAGATACATCTACAGTTAATGGGAATCCAGCAACAAGGTGTTCCTTTACCATCTGATGCAGTCGAGGAACCTGTTTTTGTTAACGCAAAGCAATACCATGGAATACTAAGGCGCAGGCAATCTAGAGCAAAACTTGAATCTCAGAATAAAGTTGTCAAGTCACGCAAGGTACAAAACTTAAAACCACCAAGAGGATGTTATGTTATGGTTCCTTACTTTCGTTTGGATTAAATCTTGAATGTCTATTCGCAGCCGTATCTGCATGAATCTAGGCATTTGCATGCGATAAGACGACCAAGAGGATGTGGTGGTCGGTTTCTCAATGCCAAGAAGGAGGACGAGCGTCAAGAAGACAGTCATGAAGAAAATTCCAACCTTAGCTCTGATAAATCCGCCATGGCTACTTCTAGTGGTACACTTTGAGAAGGTCTTCCATACGTAGCTTTGTTCTGTTTTGGCTATGTTTGGTCTCAGATCATCGTCTTTAGTGTATGGTATAAAATCTTTGTAGAAATGTATAGGTTCTTGGGAGCAATTAGGTCAACGTCAAGTGGGTTTTAGACTTGTGATTAAAAAAATAAAACCCATGAGGAAGAAAGGAAATAAAGAAATGTCTTGAAGTTTAAGTTTAAGAAACAATGCTACTGATATTGTTTTGTTGTAAGAAATTTTGGTAATAAAACGAAGAAATGAGAGAATCCACACACACAAAAAGGTGACCTCAAGGATTTGATATTATGGCAAGGTAAAACTAACTGTTTTTAATATATAGTTATGGGTAAAATGACACTTTCTGAAACAATAAGAGAACTACAATTTTTGTCAAAAGCTAATGGATCTAACATTTTTACATTGCTAATTAGACTTTTCCTTCAAACTTTTCAATCTCTGTTGAATCATACTACATTGTTGAGCATTTTGAGTGACATTGTTTCATTTAAAAAACAAAGGAATTATATTGTTGAGCAATTCAGTTCATATTTCGAAAAATCTCTTTTATGCATATTGCCAAAGTTATAGTTTCTGGTAAGTGACTCAATCAGAGACATAACATAGGTTAACCTAATCGAGGTCCTGATCAAAATATATACCTATATATATGTGAATACAGAGTAGCTATACTACATAATATTATAACCTAGGATGGTCAAGTATTATGATGCTAAGGAACAAAGCAATTGTTGACTTTGAGATCAACGTCGTCACAAAAGGTTTGACATTCTTATCATGAGGTCATCCAAAAACATTTTGCAAATTACAGCTGAGACAAGCGCGAAATGTGCTTTTTCTGTTTGCGTTTAGGCAAATTAAGATATGAAGTTCTTTTGTAACTAAAACACAAAAAGATCATGTCTAGTGCTTTTGGTTCTTGACATGTCGTCGTGAGTTTTATTAATAACCCTTGTTTGTAGTTTCCACATAAAAGGTAGTAGAGACAGACGATTACAGACGTAAAATAAATAAATAATCAAGCTATTATAACAAATGAACTAAAATTAAAGAAAAAATTAAAACGAAACTCAAAACCGTAAAGAGCTATGTTGCTTTTTAGTGGCGCGAGATATAAACTCTTGTATGTAAAGTATGTTAATAATTAGTTAAAGTGTGTTGTTCTTTTCTTACAGAAAGGACGAATTTATTAAGAAAGAGTTTTAGTAAACGCCATTGTCTATTTCTATTAGTTAATTAAGAAAAATAATTAAGTATTTGCAAGTTTGCAATACAAATTAAATGGCAAAAAAGACGGGGTAAAGTGGTTATATCTGCGACTGCCATGTAGAAAATCGAAGCGCATGCACAAAGTAAGAACTCATGATGAGACTTCACATGACCTTCTTCATTTCCCTTTATTATTTTCACAATTTCCGCATTTATTGTTTTCTTTTTTTATATGAAGATATCCTTTTGTCTAGATGTTAAACTGTTTAAATTTTTATTTTATTTTTAAGACAGATTAGTTTTCTCTCCCAACATATAATATAATATTCAAGAATATGCCACTTGTTTTCACTCCGACAGGCGACAGTTGCTTTTTTCTTCGTTTATTTATAAATTTCTTAGGATGTTTTTACATTAATCAATGGCATTTCCATCAATTATCGCACTTTTTATTTTATTTTTGCAATGCCATGTAGTAATCAACATAAAACAATAGGTAAAACGTACGAGTTATATATATTTATGTCGAATCTTTCTTTCCATGTACATTTTATATGTACACATGTACTGATGTACACTCTCTTAACTCTATTCTGATTTTAAATAGACAAACAACATGTATTTGAATTTTGATGATGTCGTTTTCGCCAAGATAACAAACATATTTCGTAATGATAGATTTGGTGCTTGGTCGTATATGTTGATGGATGTATCATGTTTAGCTGCTTCTTTTTTCTTGTGTGTTTGTAGAATCTCGTAAGGTGTGAGAGCTAAGCTTCTGACTCAATCAGAGACATTGGAGAAGCAGCCATATGTATTGCTACTATGATATTCATAATTAACGTGTATTTGAGTATTACGATGAATTTTTCCCACAGTTATGTGCTTCAAACATCAAATTAACTATAATCATACCATAAGAACGAATGTAAACTCGGGATATACCGAAGCTAAACTATAGCAAATTACCCAACAAAATTACAAAATTTCATTCATTGGTCATGCATGTTGATATCGGCCTTTCATACTAGGTTACAAATCCTGTATTTTGTGTTTATATATAATTCATATAAGAAATAAATCGCAGTAGTTTGTTTGGACTTCTGTGATTCTGTCCAAAATCAATAGTTATAAGAAAACCAAAAAAAAGTACACAGAAGAAATATGTTTGGACAAATGGATACAATTCTTTAACAAACATTGAAAAAAAAAAAGACAAAAGGAGACAACCAATTGAAAATTCGTAACCAGACCAAATACAGGTCTTACCCCCCAGCAAAGGCAGACCTGTCTTAATTTGTTTTCTCATAATTTAATCATAACTTTATGAAACAAGTTACAGAAACAACCAAAGAAAACACTTAACGTTAATATTTTTAGAAGTAGCTATATGTATTTCACGCTTCTCACGCGCGTAGTGACATTTGCACATACTTCTCATGCAACATCCATCCGCATGGTTACAAAAGATGTACATACAATAACAACATCATGGAAATGTGGTGCATACATACATCATCATTAGCATCATCTTAGGAACAAGAGGAAGAGGATAGAGAAAATTTGATGCTATGTTTGGGTAGGCCACTGTCACAGAGCTTAAAGACAACAGCTTTATTTCCCTAAGTTAGCAATTTCGTCAAAATCCCGTTTCTTCTGACAACAACACTTCCGTTTTACGATTAACAAATTGTACAATTATGTTAAAAAAATATATAAAATCTACAATCAATATTTCCTTATTAATATTAGCGATTAGCATTTAGGGAATTCGTATAAGTATTTGCAGAGACAGCTTTGCGTGTTGCCTTTCTCATCTATTGTGTTTAGCCTTTCAATCCCTATATCTTTGATTAAATGCTAAACCTTTTTTTTTTTGGTCTGAAATCTGAATGCACCTAAGTTTTCACAATTCTTGTTCCTTTCAAACTTTTTATTTTATTTTAAATTTTTTTGTCAACATCTACTTACTTTTAATCAAAATCAAAAAGAGTGATGACAGAATCACATTGATACGGAGAATTAGGTGTGTTATGAAATCAAAGTAGAGAATTAAGTAATTTTCCATTTTTTTTATTTTGTTTAGACAACAGTATCTCACATCTTCAGACGTTTTCTGTAAGAAACCAATATAACGATATAAATTTCTCTTGGAATAGTCGAATAATTATAGAACTCACAATCACAGCCAATGTTTTTTTTGAAAAAGGAAATATTTTCATATTTATTTCTATTTTTGTTTTTCAGTTGTACGGCAACGGAAAACCAAAGTTCCAAATCTAAATTATTATGTATACTACTCATATATAATTAACAACTCTTGCATAAATCTTGTTTGTGTTATATACATAATTGTGTTCTTATACAAGTAAGAGTTTCTTTATCGAATATTTGTTATCTGCTTTCTATTTTGTTTTCCTTTCATGATAGTTTATGAAAGTTAGTTACTAGTCGTATTAAAGAGTTTCAAATATGTTTATCTTTTTCAGTTATGGTATCATTCTTTTTATTTTCACATATATAATTAATTATCACAGAAAAATAAGTGACAAATTTATTAATTAGTTTACTTACAGTTGTCAATTGTCCATACAACTAATTATTATTAATTAAATTCTTTAACAAAAAAATCAAAATTTTCTTTAATAAAATAAAATTGTAAATGGTAATTTTGCGGAATAACAGAAAAAGAAAAAGTGTTACATAATAGCAAAAAAATCTTGCAAAATAGATTAATTTATTTATAATTTATTTTTTTAAAATATATTTTTTTAAACTGTATTTCTGTACATATTTTTTATATTACAAAATTTTATTAATTAATAAAAAATTATATAATCGTATTTAAAAACGTCGGAAAGATTACTAATCGGAACCCAAAGTTTTTTAACCAATTCAACCTACTACTCAACGTTTGGAAATTTCACCTTTTTTCTTTTTAAAATAATTTTTACCTGTTTAGTGCTTCTTGTTGTGTTCTTGCTTGTCCTCTCTCTCCCGGAAAAATCTTTATTTTACTTTTTCCAGTATTTTCCTCTCTCTCTCTCTCTCTCAAAGAATCTCGAGATTAGTGTCTTGAGAGAAACACCCCTCTCTCTCTACTTAGCTCCATTTGCTTTGCTCCTTCTCTCTTTCCATCTTCTTCTTCTCCTCCTTCGAGAGAGCAAATGAAAATCCAAACTCTTTTCCCCAACCATTCTTTCATGAGAGGCTCTCTCCACTCAGAGGGCTTACCCGTCTAAAAATCAAACCTTTCCATTTTCTCAATCGATACCCATTTCTTCTCCATCTTGCCCTTCCCATTATTTCCCTTAAAGCATCGATTTTTACTTTCTCGCTGTGTGATTTCTCGACTTGGAAATGATGATGGCTCATCATCATCACTCCATGGACGACAGAGACTCTCCGGATAAAGGATTCGACTCTGGCAAGTACGTTAGGTACACACCGGAGCAAGTTGAAGCTCTTGAGAGAGTTTACGCCGAGTGTCCGAAACCTAGCTCTCTCCGAAGACAGCAACTCATTCGTGAATGCCCGATTCTCTGCAACATCGAGCCTCGTCAGATCAAAGTTTGGTTCCAAAACCGCAGGTGAAAACAACAAATCTATATATATATATTGTAGTATAAAGTTTGTATACTAACTGATTGTTTCTGAAATTTAAAAATTGGAATTTTTTGTTTGTATTTGAAGAGGACAGTATGTTCCCTTCTTTGATTTTTAACTTAAATTAATCCCCACCAGCTCTGTTCTTCTCTGACAAATGTTTTTTTTTTTTGGGTTAATCTCTGTGTCTTTTCGTGTTTTGGATCTCCATGGCAAAGTTTTAAGCTTTTGAATTTCAGATCTGTTTCTAAAAAAATCGAAGAAATTTGTTTCTTTTTTATTAGGCTTTGACACAGTTGAAAGTTATATACAAAAAAGTGACAGCTAATCAAGCTGTCTTTGATGAGCTTTAAACACCTCTTTTTCTTCAAATTTTTAATATTTTCCCCAGAGAATATGTTGGAAATTACATTATCTTTTTGTTCTTTATGTCATTCTAGTATGATTCTAAAGCTAAAAGGGTGTTTCTTTGCTCTCTTCTGTTCATTCTCCACTATTCCCCACATTTTTCATACACTGCTATTGTTTTGTCTTTAGCTGTTTTTTTATTCACGTCTTTTGATGTTTCTTTTCGGTTTATTGAATGTAGATGTCGAGAGAAGCAGAGGAAAGAATCTGCTCGTCTTCAGACAGTGAACAGAAAGCTGAGTGCCATGAACAAGCTTCTGATGGAAGAGAACGACCGCTTGCAGAAGCAAGTCTCCCACTTGGTTTACGAAAATGGATTCATGAAACATCGAATCCACACTGTAAGTCCCTGATTTTCTTTGCCTTGATGCAATGTAAAGAAGTTTAACCACACTCAAATTGGTGTGGAACTTTTTGTTTTGACTTTGTTTAAAGTGTGATGTTTCCTTGAGAAATCTCTGTTGTTCGAAAGTGACTGATCTAGTTCTCTTTATTGTCCCTTAGGCATCTGGGACGACCACAGACAACAGCTGTGAGTCTGTGGTCGTGAGTGGTCAGCAACGTCAGCAGCAAAACCCAACACATCAGCATCCGCAACGTGATGCTAACAACCCAGCTGGGTAAGGAAGGCTCTTGTATTGTCTTTGTGATTTTCTCATTCTAAGATTATAAGAAGAAACTAGAATGATTTTGTGTTTTTGGTAGTCTTCTCTCCATTGCGGAGGAGACCTTGGCAGAGTTCCTTTGCAAGGCTACAGGAACTGCTGTCGACTGGGTCCAGATGATTGGGATGAAGGTAAATAAGTTGTAATCTTTTACGGTTTTTTCACATGAGGAAAATGAAGTGACGTTTTTTATATGTATTTTCATGGTGATGTGTATACAGCCTGGTCCGGATTCTATTGGCATCGTAGCCGTTTCACGCAACTGCAGTGGAATAGCAGCACGTGCCTGTGGCCTCGTGAGTTTAGAACCCATGAAGGTAATGAATGTTTCGTTTTTTTCTGTTATCTTGTTTTGTAATAAGGCCAAATTTTTATGGAGACTCTCTAAGCTTCAAAAACTGTGTTAGGTTGTTGAAATCCTCAAAGATCGTCCATCTTGGTTCCGTGACTGTCGATGTGTCGAGACTCTAAGCGTGATACCCACTGGAAACGGTGGTACTATTGAGCTTGTGAACACTCAGGTCTGTTTCATAAATCTATCCTGCTCGTTTTATTTATGTTTATAGAATGTTCTGATCGTTGTTCATGGCGGGTTATCAGATTTATGCTCCTACAACATTAGCAGCAGCTCGTGACTTTTGGACGCTTAGATATAGTACAAGTCTAGAAGATGGAAGCTATGTGGTGAGTTTAAGGAATCAGTTTTGCTCTTTTTTATTTCTCTCTATTAGATTTGCTTTATATATGCTTTTCTCCTTCAGGTTTGTGAGAAGTCATTAACTTCTGCAACTGGTGGCCCCAATGGTCCACTGTCTTCAAGCTTCGTGAGAGCCAAAATGCTGTCAAGCGGGTTTCTTATCCGTCCTTGTGATGGTGGTGGTTCCATCATTCACATTGTTGATCATGTTGATTTGGATGTAAGCATTTTTAACTGATAAAATCACCAGAAGTCTCGTAAGAGTTTCCTCTTTTATGTTGTTTGCTAAGTTTCTTTGCTTTGGCAGGTTTCAAGTGTTCCTGAAGTCCTGAGGCCGCTCTATGAGTCTTCCAAAATTCTCGCTCAGAAAATGACCGTCGCTGTAAGTTCCATATAAACCTGACCCACCATTGACCTGATTAGGCTTCATGCTTCTGAGTTTCACTTCAACATTTCAGGCTCTGAGACATGTGAGGCAAATTGCTCAAGAGACTAGTGGAGAAGTTCAGTATAGTGGTGGACGCCAGCCTGCTGTTTTAAGAACTTTCAGCCAAAGACTCTGCCGGTAAATAATCCATAAGCTTAGTTTTACTGTCCAGAGCATTGTTCTAATTGCTTTTCTTTGAATTCAGTGGTTTCAATGATGCTGTTAATGGTTTTGCGGATGATGGATGGTCTCCTATGAGTAGTGATGGAGGAGAGGATATTACTATCATGATCAACTCTTCCTCTGCTAAATTCGCTGGTTCTCAATACGGTAACTCGTTTCTTCCAAGTTTTGGAAGCGGTGTCCTCTGTGCAAAAGCTTCTATGCTGTTACAGGTGCTCACATCATGATTTACATTTATGAATAGACAAAAGAATTGGTTTCTTCAATTTCTGATTCCCTTATTTGTTTTCTTCCCCTGAAGAATGTTCCACCCCTTGTCCTGATTCGGTTCCTGAGAGAACATCGAGCTGAATGGGCAGACTATGGGGTTGATGCCTACTCTGCTGCATCTCTCAGAGCAACTCCATTCGCTGTTCCTTGCGTTAGAACCGGTGGGTTCCCGAGTAACCAAGTCATTCTTCCTCTCGCACAGACACTCGAACATGAAGAGGTAAAAAAGAATTTCAAGATCCTTGTCCCTGTTGTCGCTTCTTTGGTTATGCACCTATAATCCTGCTTTGTGCATAGAACTGAGAGATCTTGTTTCACAGTTTCTCGAAGTGGTTAGGCTTGGAGGTCATGCTTACTCACCTGAAGACATGGGCTTATCCCGGGACATGTATTTACTGCAGGTTTGCCTCATTTCTTAAAAAACAATCTTGGATTCTTAAAGCTATGTTGTTGAAATAAAAATCTTGGTTTTTTTTTGCTTTTGTCCAGCTTTGCAGCGGCGTTGATGAAAATGTGGTTGGAGGTTGTGCTCAGCTTGTCTTTGCTCCTATCGATGAATCATTTGCTGATGATGCACCTTTGCTTCCTTCTGGCTTCCGGGTCATACCGCTTGAACAAAAAACAACTCCGGTACAAGAACAAAAACTCTGTTTTTGAAAAGACAGTTAGTATCCTGGAATATTCAATTGACAAAAAATCTCTCCTTTTTTCCCTTGTTTGTAACAGAGTGATCATGTATCTGCGAATCGAACACGGGATCTAGCATCATCTCTAGATGGTTCAACCAAAACCGATTCAGAAACAAACTCCAGATTGGTCTTGACCATAGCCTTCCAGTTCACATTTGATAACCATTCAAGAGACAATGTTGCTACAATGGCGAGACAGTATGTGAGGAATGTTGTTGGTTCGATTCAGAGAGTGGCTTTAGCCATTACACCTCGTCCTGGCTCAATGCAACTTCCTACTTCCCCTGAAGCTCTCACTCTGGTCCGTTGGATCTCCCGTAGTTACAGGTATTCTTCTTGAAACCTTAATCTAAGGATTTGCAACAACAATGTGTTAATCTTCAATCAAATGTTTCTTATTTGTTTTTTCTTGGTTGGTTTAGTATTCATACAGGTGCAAACCTGCTTGGAGCTGAATCTCAAGCTTGTGATGGAGACACATTGCTTAAACAACTCTGGAACCATGCTGATGCTATCTTGTGCTGCTCCTTGAAAACTAATGTAAGAGATCTGTATTGATTAGATTTGCATTTGGTTATATAAACCGGGTCGAAATTGGTTAAAATGTCTGATTTATTTATATTCTCAGGCCTCACCGGTATTCACATTTGCAAACCAAGCTGGTTTAGACATGCTTGAAACTACGCTCGTGGCACTTCAAGACATAATGCTCGACAAGACTCTCAATGACTCTGGTCGTAAAGCTCTTTGCTCCGAATTCGCTAAGATCATGCAGCAGGTATTTTATTTTTTTACCTTTGCTTAGCTTCTTTTTTCCCGGGAAAAAATGTCATTTTGTTTCCTTGGAAAATTCTAAACTTTGGATGGAATCTTCAGGGATATGCTAATCTTCCGGCGGGAATCTGTGTGTCGAGTATGGGGAGACCAGTTTCGTATGAGCAAGCGACGGTGTGGAAAGTTCTTGACGACGACGAATCAAATCACTGCTTGGCGTTTATCCTCGTGAACTGGTCCTTCGTGTGAAGAAAAGGCTTTAATTATGTTAGATATTGAAGTTAGGATGGCTGTTTTGGCTAATGTTTGTGAAATTAGGAGGGTCATTATGTAATGTGGACAAATGTGATGATATATGTATCTTGATCAAATTATGACACTATGTATGGCATGATATTTATATCTTGCTCTTATGTTTATTTTATTAATGTTTGACTTGTTTCATTTTTTCGTTAGTAAAAGTTATGAACTTTATTGTTTTCTTATAAGTACAGTCAACAATTATCATTGTGTTCAGGTGCAAATTATTGGCAACAGAAGCGTTTGTCGAAGAAATTAATTAATTCACTATTGGATTTTCAAAAGTTCTATGGATGTATGATTAATAACTTAAATGCATAATTGAATAAAGTCACAAGTAATTAAGTGTGTATTTATATGCAAACATGAAATGCATGCGAAGTGTGCTGCCTGTAAGTGTATGATCGTCCAAAAGATTAGATTTGGATGAATCTTTGACATTAAATGATCTATAATCATTACTATATGCAATCTATTTAATTGAAGTCGTATCTATCACAAGAAAACTAGTCATGATGATGATGCTGTTCTTTGACTTGTAGGCAGAAACCTATAAACTTTTACTTTTTGGGTAGCCTAACTAGTAATGGAAGTTAATATGTGACCTTTATTTTGGGCAGAAACGTATAAACTTTGGAGTTGATGGAAAGGTTTTATATGCATATTGGTAACTCTTTTAGCAAAGAAAAAAAAAAACCCTCTTTTATATATTCTGGTATATTTTTATAAGTTCTGATTAAAAAAAATGGTTCACTGTTTTTATCATTAAGCAATTTAACATCAATCACAGAAGTTAATCGACAACTATTTTAATCCGCTGTTTTAAACTAAATTGAGTTCTTCCGAACTTAGCGATTTAACCATTACATTCTACACTTTTTGGTTTTGCTTTTTGTTTAACAGTAATTACACCACTTAATGCGTTTCAATTGGAGTTTTGGATTGTGAAAAAAGAGATCGTAAAAGCACCCGTAAATATTGGTTTTTTGTCGGCAAATGCACTCATAAATTAATAGTTGGATATGGGATTAAGAACTTTTTTACGTATATTATTAATCTTTTTTGAATGTCTAAGGCGATTTATGAGTCATTTATATTTTTAGTGTTTAATATTTATTGTCTGTTATCATTTATACGTAGAAAAAATAGCTATATATGGTAAAACACGAATTCATTATGCATTTAAGTGCATATGTTCGTTGAATATGTCAAATCGAATGATGGCATCTTACTAGTTATAAGTTATAGCTACTTACAATTTTTTTTGTTACGATAGATCAATAAATTTCACTCTCATTTCTAGCTACATATGAATGAAACCGTAAATTAACTAATTGAAAACCAGAGCTAGTGAGCTATATTCAGCGATTAAAGCCTACTCATACTGAACAAATTAACTACTATCAACCCTATTATAATGAATAATAACAACTTCTTAATAAATGAAAAAAAATGTGGGGCGGTGATTTGACCGCTAAGGGATGAAAAAAGTGGGCTCACGTATAAATTACAACAAAATAGGTTTGTTTTTTATGGTAAAAAAAATTGAAAAAGAAGATAGAGAGAACGGTGAAAAGACAAAAGTGATTCTGTTTGGGACAGATCTGGCTTTGTGTAAGGAAATGCCTTACCCGATTCTGTCTTCTTAAGTTAATATCGCTGATGTCATCCTCTCACCCCAATTAATCCTACCCACAGAATCAATAAAATCGAGTTCGTGTGCAGTAATACGGACTGCAAAAAATTTTTTCATATATACGGACTGCAAAATATTCAATTTTTCTTATATATATATATATATGCTGAAGGAAAATCTGAGTAATTGTATAGGGTAGGGATAATAATTAACTGAAAGAACGATTTGAATGTTACTGAGATTGAAATGTGTGGTGATTAGTTTGAAACCATAAGAGAAGTTCTATGAGTCAAGTCTTCTATGGTGAAGTGACTTCTGATCAAAGTCTTTCTCGCAAGCAGAAGGTTCCGACTTTTCTATCAAGAAGAGGAATTAAGTCAAATCCTCTACATGAAAGGGAAGGTCTTCCACACTTCGACATATCTTAGAACAAGAAGAATGGTGATGAGTCGGTGTGTATCCCAAGACAAAGTTGCCTCATCCTGAGATTAAACTCCAACGGACAGCGACGTTTTTCTACCTAATGTACTACCTACACTATCACAGGAGACAAGGGCGTGCTTGGAGTCTGAAGAAGCAGAGTCTGGAAAACTTCTTCTGATTCTCTGTTCGCTAAAAGACAAGTTAACTAGAGTTGAACACTCGAGTTTAAAACCGTTGTAGTCTGATTAGTCTTTGGGTATAAAAGCGATGTCAATGAGGCTTAGTAAAGACTAAGGCGAGTGTGTAGCTAGTATTGGTGTAGAGAGATTGTAAAGTGACAAAGAAGCACGGTCTGTGCTTAAGGACTTAGTGGATTTTTCGGAAAGCTTTTCCGGCGAGACGTAGCGACCAAGTTTGGGTCGTGAACTCGTTAAATTCTCTGTGTCATTTTATTTCTGCACCTTAAGTTCATACACACGAGTGATTACTACAAACAGAGAGAAGAGAGAGTTCTTTATAAACACTTCAAAGATCATAACTTTGGTGAAAAGTTAGAACTAAACTTCACAAATTGGTATCAGAGCTCCAGGTTTGGGGGTTCTCCACTCAAGATCTGAGGAAAGATGTCTTCAGCAAGAGTTGAGATGGAGAAGTTCGATGGAAAAGGTGACTACATGCTTTGGAAAGAAAAGCTTCTAGCTCACATCGAGATTCTGGGTTTAACTGAAGGTCTGATGGAAGATGAAATCCAAGAATCTGAAGACTCATCGGAGAAAACATCAGAGGTCACAGTCAAGACGAAAGAGGAAGATTCGTCTGAGAAGTCTGTAGCAGAGAAGAAGAAGAAGGTCAGATCCACTGTTATCCTGAGTGTTGGGGATAACGTTCTCAGGAAGATCATCAAGGAAAAAACAGCTGCAGCCATGTTAAAGGTACTCGATCAACTTTACATGGCCAAGTCTCTTCCAAATCGCATCTATCTCAAACAGAGGCTTTATGGCTACAATATGAGCGATAGTATGTCGATTGAAGAAAATATAAATGACTTCCTGCGACTCATTACGGATCTAGAGCACGTTAAAGTTTCAGTGTCAGATGAAGATCAAGCCATTATCCTTCTCATGGCACTTCCAAAGGCCTTTGATCATCTCAAAGACACTCTGAAGTATGGGAAAACCTCATTATCTCTCGACGAGATAATAGGAGCTGTAAGGTCTAAGGAACTGGAACTAGGAGCAAATGGAAAGCTGTCCAGAAATAGCTCGGAAGGTCTCTTTGTTCAAGACAGAGGCAGAACAGAAAAAAGGGAAAAAATCAGTGATAAGGGAAAACAGAAAGCTAGATCCAAGTCAAAAGGAAAAAAGACATGTTGGATCTGCGGTAAAGACGGACACTACAAAAAACAATGCTTTGTTTGGAAAGAAAGAAACAAGCAGAGGGAAGGAGGTGAATCATCAAATGTCACCGGTCAAGTTCAAGATGCTGCAGCTCTAATGGTGTCCGAAGCTTTCCTATCATTAGGAGAAGAACTGAAAGATAAGTGGATCATGGACACAGGGTGTTCATTTCACATGACTCCGAGAAAAGATTGGTTCATAGAACTGAAAGAATCAACCTCAGGCAAAGTAAGGATGGCGAATGACACCTACTCTGCAGTCAAAGGAGTCGGAAGCATAAGGATCAAGAACGACGACAACTCAACTGTTCTGCTGACAAATGTGAGATATGTACCAGAGATGACCAAAAATCTCATCTCTTTAGGTACACTTGAAGATCAAGGGTGCTGGTTTCAGTCAAAGAGTGGAGTTATGAAGATAAACAAAGGTTGCAGAACTCTCATCAAAGGAAAGAAAACTGATACACTTTACATTCTGAGTGGATCGGTTGTTCTAGGAGATGCGGGTGTTTCTGTGGGACTCAGAGACGAAACAAGACTGTGGCACAGAAGATTAGGTCACATGAGTCAGAAGAGTATGAAGGTTCTGATCAAGAAGGGGTATTTAGACAAAAACAAAGTCACAGATATGAGTTTTTGTGAAGACTGTGTGTATGGCAAAGCTCACCGAGTCAGTTTTGGAGCAGGAAAGCATGTCACAAAGGAGAGGCTAGATTATATTCACTCCGACTTATGGGGATCACCCAATGTTCCATTCTCACTCGGGAGATGCCAATATTTCATCTCCTTCATAGATGATTACTCAAGGAAGACGTGGATATACTTTCTGAAAAAGAAAGATGAGGCGTATGGAAGTTTTGTTGATTGGAAAAAGATGGTTGAAAATCAGATTGGGAAGAAAGTCAAGACTTTGAGAACTGATAATGGCCTAGAATTCTGCAACAGAGAGTTCAATGTGTTTTGCAAGAATGAAGGTATCGTAAGACACAAAACCTGTGCTTACACACCTCAGCAAAATGGAACTGCAGAAAGAATGAACAGAACCATTCTTGAGAAGGTCAGAAGTGTTCTCAGTGAGTCAGGATTGCCAAAGAGTTTCTGGGCCGAGGCAGCATCAACTGCAGTATTCCAGATCAACAGATCACCCTCTGCAGCTCTGGAGTTCGAAATCCCAGAAGAAATCTGGACAGGGGTCAAGCCGAAGTATGAAGATCTAAGAGTATTTGGGGCCGTTGGTTACATTCACAGTGATCAAGGGAAGCTTAATCCAAGAGCAAAAAGGGGAATCTTCATCGGATATCCACCAGGAGTCAAAGGATACAAGTTCTGACTTGTGGAAGAAAAGAAATGCATCATTTCAAGGGATGCAATCTTTCAAGAAGAAAAGATGTATAAACATCTCAACCATCAGTCAGAACAGAAAGGAGATTGACAAGTTACTGAACCACCTATCGTTTATGAAGTTAACAGTGGTGATTTCAGGGATTTAGGAGGAGCTCAGATCAACTCGGAAGATGAACAAACTGAAAGTCACCATACCGAGGCTGACAACTATCATCAAGATGAAGACTCCGAAGATGAAGTCTCTCAAACCAACAATGATCTTGAGAACTATCAGTTGGCAAGA